CTACATTGCACCCCAGAATTCTTTTGGTAGTCTTCAGATTTCATAATGCCATGCACACAGTCGAGACATCCAGTGCCTGAAGCAGCCAAGCAACCCCAAAACATCAGTGAGCCTCCACCATGTTTGACTGTAGAGACTGGATTTTTTTATTTAAGGCCTTATTTCTTTTTCTGAAAAAAGAATGATGGGCTTTACCAAAAAGCTGTAATTGTGTTTAGTCTGTCCACAACAGATAAGTTTTGGCAAACTCCAATCTGGCTTTTTCTGTTTCTGTGTCAGCAGTGGGGTCCTCCTGGGTCTCCTACCATAGCGTCCCTTTTCATTCAGATGGTGAGGTATAGTGCAAGCTGACACAGTTGTACCCTGTGCCTGAACATCAGCTTGAATTTACCTGGAAGTTGATTCCACCATTCGTCCACGTCGATGGAGGTTAGCTACAGTGCCATGGGCTGTAAACTTCATGACAATGTTGCACACAGTGGACACAGGAACATTAAGATCTCTGGAGATGGACTTGTAACCTTGAGATTGTTCATGCTTTTCCACAAAAACTTGGAATGCAATTATTTTTTCCATTTGGAGAAGGTGCCCATAATTTTGTCCAGTCCGTTTTAGTAGTTTTGCGTGGAATGGGTCAGATTTGGCTTATTTTTTTCTTACTTTTTTGTTATGAATACAGTCTTTCCTTTAGTCTTCAAACGTGACATTTTCTGTGTTCAGCTTGTGAAAACTTTTTCTGCGATCAGAGTGGTTTAAAATGGCTCTCGAATTACAAAGACTGCAGTCTCCAAGTCAGTGCAGCGATCCCATTTATGTTCTGAGATAGGTGGTTCTTTATTCAGCAGAGTTTGAACTTTGGTGGTCAGTGCTGTATTGTCTCTTAATGAAGTCCACTTGCTATTTGGGTCTTCAAATGCTATGGAACGATCTAGATCTGCCTGGTCTTGCTTTGGATGGAACTTGAATTGGTTTGTGAAAAATCTTTCCAGCTTGCGTTGAATTGCTCCCTTGGACATATTCAGTTTAGCTGCAGTTTGGCACTGGGATAGTGTTTTAAGCACCCAGGAGAACAATTCAGCGTAAAACAGAATCGCTGAGCTCTTTTTCAAATGGTTGTTAGCAGCTGAAAAAATATGTTTCGGTAGTGTTTTTTAAGCAGTAGCAACCATAACACTTAAGGGATAATGTATTTCGTAACCTTCCAGTATTAACTCGTAAAATCCACTCATACGCTTTGTTAGGTCAGCACGTGTTACCAATTGAATTGTGCCTACACAGACATTTCAAAAAACATTTTTTACCCACAAAGAAAAAAAAAGTGATGGAATTCAAGGTAGTATAGTAGAAATGTATGTTACAGGCCCACAAGTTACAGTTTTCCAAAATAAAATATACTGCATGACAAAATATATTGATTAAATACACTTCTTGGGGGTGGACTCAGATGTTTTGACCCCACTGCATATATTAGAGGATTTCAATTTAATTTGGAGCAGGTTTTTAGTGAAGCTTCAGTTTATTAACCTATAACCCTAACGTATAATATCCTACTTTATATTTTGTCCTGTTTTTCTGTACACCAAATCATGAAGAAAAAAAAATGTCTAATTGTCTCTGATTTAGGCTGAAGGTGACTGGGTCATCATGTGTATGGTTATGCTTGTATCCTGTTCCCCAGTGTGAAGATCTCATGGATTTAAGTTCCTCTGTCCATTGTCCATTTCTTCCACTCACTATCCAGGCAGACTGTTGGTCTTGGACCATGTCACCCTTGTTTTGGCATGCCAAAAATCACAGCAGCTGGAGCAGTAAGGAATGGTCGATGGTTGCCAGACTATCTTCATGTCAAGGGGCTACAGGGTAAGTATAATTGGTAGTCACTCTTCACCAAATACTAATTGGATTACTCTTTGACTTGTCTGTTTAGAATATGTAGAGTAGTTCTGGTTTACTGATCTTGTGCCGAGTCTGATCATGTTCTTCTTGTATTGTATTCCTATTTTACCTGCCCTCTAGGCAGTGGAAGAGTGCACGTTGTCACCGAGCATGTTGGACACCCCTGTGGCTCTCCTGCATTTTACAAGCCTTTGTTTGCTGGAGAGAAATAGGTTGCCTACTTCATATATAAATGCCAGCAGTGTTTGTTACTGTGTGTAGCGTTACCCTCACACTGTGTCCCTTTCAGTTAAGACCAAATCCCTTGAGAAGAAGCATAATTAAATGGTCATTGTTTTGACTAAGCCTATACCTTTTGCTAGACTACATAGCATCATGTGCCTTCCAGGTGTGCTTCTTTATAACATTAAACCAGCAAAGATATCCCTTACCCCTCATGCTTTCTTTATTAGCATCACTGGTCTTACTGAAATGTTGATAGCCAAGTTTAACCAATCATGGTATTTTCATTTCTTTGTGAATTAAATCGACACCAGATAAGACATTTCTGCTGGTGTTCTGACTCCATTGCCTACCACGCCTACTGTTAAATGTCTGTGCAAACACCACATAGGAGAGGCTGACTACATTGCCTAATCTAAAGCAGCGTATGGTGATAGCACTAGTGGGGAACACTTGACACTAGACTCAAAGGTAGTAGCAGCAGGTGTGTGTTTCAACATACTGGCATTTACCCAAAACTCAGTTTTGAACAAATTCAGCCTTTGATAGTTCTGAATCTCACTTCATTTACGTGTATCATGTCCAAAACACTACCCTACATCTTTATTGCTTTTAAAAGAAAAATGTTTAAAAAAAAAAATCCATTGGATTGCCTTTCTATTGTCTTGTATTTTTATATGCTCTTTATATAGAAATGTAAGCTTTTTTTGTCATGCTTTTAGAAACACTGCTTTGCCTCATCTCTGCCTGTGACCAAGAACTTAATCCATTGTGGCCTTATCTTTTTTTTAATTCCTCTTGATGTGAATAGTTTAGTTTACTGGAATTCATGTTTTCGGAGTCTGAGGACTTGTTTCACCCAGAATGTTAACAAGTTTAGTGTTGTTATTCCGTCGTAGGGAGGTGTTTGTATCTGTTATTTGCCGATTAGTCGATTTTAACTCTGCAATTTGCTTGTGTGCTTTGATCGATGGCAAAAATATGTTATAATTACCAAAGGTGTACTTTTTTTTGTTGTTGTTTTTTTTTTCCAACTATCAAATTGTGTAAACACAGACAAATGGCGAGATAGACCAGTATAGAAGATCAATGTTAATTGTACATATCAAGCGCATTTGATTGCATCACCAGCAAACTTTTACCCATATTTTGATCCAAACACTAAAAAAACCGTTGTGTGTTGTTGTGCCTATCTACAGACTTTTTCATGATGCTGTATCTCTAGCTCTGTCTTCCATAGTTTGTGTCCTTGGTCTGGAGAAGTATAGCTTGTGTCCCATGTTAAGTGTGTTCAGGCAACTCAACTCTCATTAGTCTACTGCACTGTAACCATGTGTGGAGTTTTCTGTGTTGAATCTGTGAAAGTTTATGGTCAGCAGCTAACAACTTTTAATTTTTACTTCAAGCTGAACAGATGAACATGCCATGATTTCCACCGCTGCTGCTGGACTTATGGTGTTAAACATACTTATATGCCTTTCTTTTTAAGACCTTTAAAAATTGTTTGCTATTGAACTGCCAGATATTTACGTGTGTATGTTTTGCCAATTTTACTCCAGCGCCAAGGATTTTATTTGTTACTGCTGGTTTGCCTAAAATAGGACTGCAGAATCCAGATGTATTAATATGAGCAGTTGTATTGTACTAGCTTGATAAAGGTTATACCAAATAATTCTGCAAATACTTGTTAGAGATGGCAGGTTTTGATTGAATACTTTTGTGCATATGACTTTGTTACGTGTGAAACAAATGAAAATACCTTTATGTGCCAGATGTTTCTTTTACATTGTGACTTTCAAGTAGGGTTGATTTTTGCTTTTTTAAGGGGATGTAGCCTGTCTGCTTAGTGAAACACTAGCTAGTTTCTGATGAGTATGTCCAGCACGTATAGTGACTGCCTCCACTCTTATGTGGCCACAGGTATAAGTTATAAAAAGTATTTTTATTTTGGAGTGTTTCCGGTGAGGAGCACTTCTAGTGTGCAGAATGTTTTAAAGAGACTCGTTTCGATCCTTACCTGATGGCGACAAGTAGTCTCCCAAACATAAAGCCATGTGCTATTCCTGGCCACAAGTGTGACTGCCCTGTGGCTTGGGTGTTTGAGAGTGCTTCTAAAATCAACTTTACAGTCAGGAAAGAATCTTCATGACAGATCCCTATAAGTAAGAATTGCACCTAAAATTCATTTTGGATGGGGCGATAAAATAGGCATCATTATTTGGAATTATATACACCTACCAAGCTCTGCTGTGAAGATTAACCATTGTTTCTTACCTCTGGGCTGCAACCAGTAAGCATTTTGGTGAATTCTTGCTTGCTGTGAGGTGGACCAACACTTATTTGTCATGAAAAAGTAAGAAGAGCAGAGGTGGATAAAGAGCTTAGGTGGTGGTGGTGGTTGGTCTTCACTGTGGTGTTTGGGAGTTAAGTGTAATATTAAGTGCTCTCATCTCTCTCCAACCATCATGAAAAGAAAGCAGTTTGAGGTATATTCCTTATTTTATTTTTTTGAAGGGGTCAATCCAACCAAAGTTGATATTTAAGTATTAGGTGCTTGAGAGTTAAATGACCCACTAGCTTCTTATAGTTCTATTAACATCTCAGCTCTACCTACCCACCACAACCATTACAAAGTGGTCTAGCACTTCCTGAATTGTCATGAATGGAGAATTCTGTAAGAGGGGTAGGACCCTAGGTGTGGGAGTGCTGAGACATTAGGGTTTTGGCACTGAGGTTTGTAAGAGATGTAAAAAGCCTCGGTGTTTCAAATTCAACTTGTGAACATTAAGATAATAAAATGTAGGGTTTGAATGGACTGACTCTTCAAATTAGTCATGGGTTGCTGGATAACCCTTCTAGAACTGAGTACATTTGACATTATTCCCTTTTATGAAATTGCTACTATTTTAATGATTCTTTTGGATAGTCTGCTGTTATGGTTCTTAAATGTATGTCTTGTAAAGAAGCCAGCTTTGTTTTCAGTCCTCAAGGGTTATGTTGTTCTGTGCACCTGGTTTCTTAGCAATAAAATAGAGTTCAGCAACTTTATTATTTTTTAATAAATATCTGCTCAGTTAATTTTACATCGAGAGAAAACTTCCTGCAACTTGGGCAGTCTAAATAAAAAAGTGAAATGCAAACCATTTTAAGAGTGTTATTTTGTATGCTTTCTTTTTCAGTTTTTTTCTGTTGCATAAAGCACAACCCATAGAGCAGAATGACTAACAGTTGTTAAAAGCTTGCCATCATTAGTCTTGCGTAACATAAGCCAGATCTTTAATCTGATTTCAAGGTGCACTCTATCTCCTCTTAAGCCTTCGTAGCAAGGTTACATTTTTATACCATTGTGTCTAATCCTGTAACTGTTTTATTTGTGTATATACTTTTTGACAATTTTACACATTAAATTTTGTTAATGCTCTATTTCCACAGATAAGTGTGTCCTATTCCTTTGTATGAAGGATGATTCTATTTATACTTTCTTCTTTGAAGGTTGTTAAAAAAAAAAAATGGGTTCCAACGAGTTTTATGTTCACAGTTGACTTTAGGATAAGCAAATTTAATTTGATGATTGCGAGAACCTGCAACCCTTTCTGTGAAAGCACTTATATGGGTTTACTTCATTTTAAAATTTTCAGTTTTACAAGTAAACATCCTGCCTGATAAAAGACGTCACAAGGTGCCTGCTGTTGGCTTTATTAATCAAAAAACCCTACTCTCAGAAAAGCTTATTCTGTGCCTTTCTCTGATTTAGTTTCACATCCCAGATAGCAAGAAATTGTGCAGCAGGTTTGAAAATGACTTGCTAAACTATTGCAGACTTGCCAAGCTTCACAATTTTGTTGCACAATTACAGCAGGTCTGCATTGCAAGTCTCCAGACCAGCGAGCTTGCAGAGCTCTTGCTAAGACCTGCAGGACTCTTGCTGTTGACTTGCCAAGCAAATTTGCTACAAATTCAAAAAGTGTCAACTAGGACTTGTGCTGCGAGTGTTCTGCAAGTCTACAACTTGCCAGGAATGTGTGCAGAAAGTTAACAAGAATTACAATTTAACCCTCCCACAAGTTTGTGGCAAGTTATCCTTGCTATCTGGGTTACTGTTATTTATAGGAATATGTCACATAAGCAATCCTGTTGTTAGCAACAACTTGTGAGTGACAGATCCCCAAGAGACCACTTACCTGTTTCTATAGAGTTTTTTTCCATAGCCCCCTTGCTAGAGAGGTAGTTTATTCAGAGTTCAAGGCCAACGATTCCATAAAGGTAAGTGTAAGGCTCTCCTGGGTCAAATGGCCTATACATTTTACTGTGCCCTAACGTTTCCACCAACTGCCATACACCTGTCCAGTGAGAGTGCCTTTTTCTGGCAACTAATTCACAGCTGCAAGGTGTGGTACGTCAAAAGTTTTGATTAAATACTTTTGTGCATTTGACATTTATGTTAAAAGTGGAAGAAATGAAAACCTTTATGTGCCAAATGTTTCCTTTACGTTGTGACCTTCAAGTAGGGTTGATTAGTTTTTCTTCTGGGGGAAATGTAGCCTGTCTGCTTAATCACACTGGTAGTTTCCGATGAGCATGTCCAGCACATTTAATGGCTGCCTCCACTGTTATGTGGGCATAGGTATACTTTAAATAGCGACTGCTTAACCAAATGAGCGCTTTCAGGGAGGAGCACCTCTAGCATACAAAGTTCTGGCCCAATGATTCCATAGAGGTAAGTGGGAGGCTCTCTTGGGTCAAATAGCCCAAATATTTACTGTGCCTGACTTTTTTTTTTTATGCTACTTCCCTCCAATTGCCATCCACCTGTCCAGTGAGAGTGCCATTACTGGCAACAAAGGCCCCATTCACAGCTTTGAGGTGTGGTGTGTTCAAAAATGCATGTTAATGTCTATTAATTTTAGTGGGCTGCCAACGTTCCACAACAGACCAGAAAATGGACCTGCTCTGTTTTTGCCATGCGGTATAGCACAGTGCATGGTAATGTTACCGTGTGCTGTGCTGCAATGCAGATGCATTGCTTTAGTATGTTGGGATGTCTTTTAAAATTAATGGCACTACAACACACTAAATTGTGCATGGTGCATTGAGTCAGTCTGAACTATTTTAATGAGATTATTTTTATTTTTCATTGAGATCATTTTCTCTTAGTCAAGTCTTTATCATTATGTTGCTGAGCTCTTATGCAGTTGTACTGTGTTGTGCATGCACTTTCTTTTCCCTCCTTTTCATTGTGAGGTAGTCTTCCCATCATTGATGCAGGGTTATGCGATTTTTCTTCAGTATGCCCTTGCTTCTGTGTGCTTTCAGCAGCTAGGTGTGTGAATACCCAAGATCCTTTTTGGTGTGTTTTATTTGCAGAGCAGTATGTCGGATCCTAAACGAAAAGGAAGCACTCATGCAGACCTCTCCAGCTCACAATCCATTAACAGTTTCCTTAAGAAATTGGCTGCCCTTGTTGTAGATCCAGCTATCTAATTTTTAAATAAGATGTTAACCATCCCTGTAGAGGCTGTACCTGTTTTCAAGGAACTATGTTGACAAGCGATTTTATAGGTTCTTTTTTTAAGGTCTTATTTGCCTTTACAAGCCCTACTATACAGCCTGCTGTTGTCACGATAGCGGTGTATCAAACCTCATCTACACAGTCAAAGGCTATGGCTAGTCACCCTGGGTTTATCTTGATGGACCCTGCCCCTCTCAAATGGTTACAGCTCTTTTATGTGGCCTTGTGCTACTGTGTAGGTTGCATGGTGGGGACTCTGCAGATAAATCTGCAGGATAAGTCTGTCTGTCCATATGCTACAGATTCGGTGTCTTAGAGGCTGGTCTGCGAAGCTCCCTTGAAGAAGCGCCATGAAAGGCTTGTCCTGTAGTGGGGAACAACTGTTCTGTGAAACCCTGGATAGTTACAGGTGAAACTCGAATAATTAGAATATCGTGCAAAGTTCATTTATTTCACTAATGCAACTTAAAAGGTGAAACTAATATATGAGATAGACTCATTACATGCAAAGCAAGATAATTCAAGCCGTGATTTGTCATAATTGTGATGATTATGGCTTACAGCTCATGAAAACCCCAAGAACCCCAAATCCACAACCTCAAAAAAGTAGATTATTACATGCAATCAATAAAACAAGGATTGTACATAGAACAATATCGGACCTCTGAAAAGTACAAGCATGCATATGTACTCAGTACTTGGTTTGGGCCCCTTTTGCAGCAATTACTGCAATTACTATTGCATGATATTCTAATTATTCGAGTTTCACCTGTATATGAAGGAAGTGACAAAGGGGGCAAAAGGACCATCTTACCACGGAATTGCCTTCAATGGCTGAATCCTCTGCCCCTTCATTAAAAAAAGGGGTTCCTTTGGTCCCACCAAAGCCTTATGACAAAATTCACAGCCTGGCTTGAATTGTGATCCTAAATCCTGGCCTTTCAAGTCCGCTAACTCTGGAAACAAACCTTCTACATTGTGAAGAGGCTCCCCACACTTTCTTAAGTGGGGACATGTTTGTCGGCCTCCTGAGTGCAGGACATTCGTAAGCCTTGGTTTTTAGTGTTACACGCAAGAGCTGTAAACTAGTGTTTTGCTCCTTGCTTTCTGTTGTCAAACTTGCTATGATCCCACCAAAAATTGGTTTTATCTTTTCTCTGCCTTTCCTATTTGTGCATGAGATCTTTACCAGAACCAGAACTATTCAGGGGTTTTTACTCCAACCTGTTCACTTTCTGCAAAGCAAATGGGGGTGTTCTATCCTATTCTTGATCTGCTAAAATTCTATATGGAACCTACCCACTTTGTGATTTGGCTTCTTTCACCAGGCACATCAGGGTGTGAGGTTGTTCCACATCGCATCCCACAGCACTAAAAAAAAAGTAAGGCATGATGTACTTTTCTTTTTTTTTTTTTCTTTCAGTGCACACCACTGTTCCCACAACAATTTGGTGGTGTGAAAGCTGTTCATCTGTGACGAGGAAAATGGCCCTGTCATGCACTGGGGCTGTGCTGGAAACAGCGGCCAGCACAGCCCCAATGCATGGGGTTAGAATGGACCCTGAGACACTTTTGAGATCATTCACTATTCACTGCTTTGGCTGCTTTTGCATTCCTATTGACAGGTATGGGGCAAGAAGATGGCAACACCAGCCCTAAAATTGCAGTATGCAAACAGTCTATTTCCTGGCCCCAGCAAAGTAAAACTGTACTGAGTTAATAAATAACAAATATTTGTAAATTTTCACTTGCAGCTTTTTGTGAAACAGTATAAAACCGAAGGAACGCAAAACAGTAAATAAGCAACTTATGCTAAAAATCTGTGTTGCAGCAACACCTGATCTGCAGTGCCATTTGTGCGCTGTGTTGGTGTGTGTTGTGATAAAATCATGCAAGCACACATTTAATCACAACGCACAGTTGTGCGCCAACACTTTGCCATGTGCTGCCAAACAGTTGAATTACTGTTTTCAAAAAAAATATGACTGCACACCAGTGCAAAAAGCAAGGCCCATAAAGACCTGGATGAGCGAGTTTGGGGTGGAGGAACTTGACTGGCCTGTACAGAGTCCTGACCTCGACCTGATAGAACACCTTTGGGATGAATTAGAGTGGAGACTGCAAGCCAGGCCTTCTCGTCCAACATCAGTACCTGACCTCACAAATGGTCAAACATTCCCATAGACACATTCCTTAAACTTATGGACGCCTTCCCAGAGGAGTTGAAGCAGTCATAGCTGCAAAGGGTGGGCCAACTCAATATTGAACCCTACGGACTAAGTCTGGGATGCCATTAAAGTTCTTGTGCGTGTAAACAGGTGTCCCAATACTTTTGGCAATATAGTGTATGTATGTATGTATGTATCTACATGAGTGTTGTCATAAGCCTCAGAACAGGTGGCTTAGGACTTGGACCTGAGGCTACCGTTATTGACTATAAGGCTTACCCAAAATAGCTAAAGCCAATGTAAGTGAAAGCTTACAGCCTTCTCTGTCACTTGACTCCCTTCTTTGGTTATATTTGTTTTCATGGTAACCTTGATGCAGCAGCCATAACTTCTTCAAACATGCAAAACCCCCAAGGCAATAAACAATAAGTGCCAGCTGACAGGGAATGCTTTCGAGACACTGTGCCACAAGACACCTTACAGGCAAAACTGA